TCAGCATGATATTGAAAATACTCACCTCCTGAACCTCATTTAAACCCTTTAAAACGTTATCCCCCCAATGAGTCCCCCCTTGTTACCTGCTTTCAGTGCTCTTCTTATGCTATAACCACATACTTACAAGCCCAATGGACCCAGTTCTGTCTTCTCCTCTCACCCCGCTGTTCTCCCAAAGATCCTGTCCTGTGCCACCATTTTGCTTGTCGACGTCACGGAGCTTTCTCTCCCTGGTTCTTCAGCCAGCCCCCTTATGATGTGGAGTAAGATTTCATGCATACGCAGAGATCAAGCACCAGACCGATTTGTAAACTGTTTTTTGAATGGAGGATAGCCATGCCATCTGCAATATGTGATGTCACATATCCTAGGATGCATTACTAACCTCTAATTATAGAACAGTATGTAAATAGACCCGGCACAGATCTTGGACTTGCACAGACATAGATCTGGCATTGGCTCTATTTACATACTGCTTTATAAATGGAGGATAGTAATGGCTCCTGCCATATGTTGACATTGGTTTCCCAGTAGGCTGCAGACGGAGAACAAAATGTCAGTCTTGCCTAGGTGAGAATGGCGGCAGTGGTGGGGCCACAGAAAAAAAGGGAAAACAGGTAGATTAAAAAAAGTTCAGTTTTTATTAATAGGGATGGGTAGGTGTACAATGCCTCAAACTTTATTTTTAGGGGGAAGGTTTGCTTTAAAGCAGAACTCCAGGCAAATCATAACAAGCTAAAATAACATAGTTATACTCACTCGAACTGTGTTCTTGGCTGGAGTTCTCTTCCTCTGATCCAGTGGTGGTATGTCCCTCTGTGTCCTCACGTTCTATATATCAAACATTATATAAAATGTGATGACTCACAGGACCTTAGACGGCCGGAGTGGAGGGGGAGCAAGGCTGAAGGGACCAGTCTAAATGCCAGCCGGGATCACGTTTCAAGTGAGTATACCTTTGTTATTTTAGCTCCCTAGAGAAAACGAGCACTTACCCTTGCAGTGCAGGGGTAACCACATTGCAAGGGTTAAGATTTTGTTTCCCCAGAGTTCTAAAATTATTTTTCATGTTGCAAACACCTCTAGGAATTATTACACACCTTTGTATCACCAGCAAAAAGGTATGCCTTACCCCCCAAACCCTCAGTTACATCACCAAAGAGAATAAACAGAACAGGACCAAGTACAAAGCTTGCGGTACACCACTAGTGTGACTGACCTCTGTTCCAATTACAACTTATTTACAATGACACACTTACATTTAACCTTTAGCCTACTCCAATGCGAACTTGTCTGACATATAATCTGCCTCGAGCATGTTAGACTTTAGTAGAGCCTACTGAGAACTTCTTAAGAATTCTTCCATTTCGCCAGAATTTGTTCTCTTGAAATCTAAAAATGTTATTTATAAATTTTTAGTTTTCATTGTAATATCAAATCATAGAAATGAATGATTACTAGAACCCACATTTTCTTTTACCTCAACATTAGACATTTCATCGCCAATTTTCAATACCAGGTCTAGAATATGTTCATTTCTGGGTGGGAATTTTACTAACTACCTTACAGAGTGTTTGTAAGCCTTTTCCAAGTGACTTTTCTTTGGAAAGCACATTCCTATACATTTTACTAATTTGTAAAAATGTATGGCAAAATGTACAGCCATGGACAAATTTTCAGTACCCTTCCACAAAAAAAGAAGAGCATGCGATTTCTCAGAATTAAAGTGACATTAAAGTCAAAAGTCTCCCCCCCCCATGTTAATGCAAGGACTTACCTTGATTGATGTTTCTTAATCCGATCATCTTCTTCTTTACTGTCCTTTTCAGCTGTCCCTGCAGCGCTGGTGCGGGTCTCCGATCCAGCGCTGACTCCTCTGTCTTCCTCTTCTCTTATGTCCCACGGTGTCTGTGTGGGTGCACACTGCTCCTCTTGATCCGATCATCTTCTTTCCTGTAGTTTTCAGGAGTCCCTCAAGCGCTGGTGCCAGTCTCTTGGTCCAGCGCTGACTCCTCTTTCTTAACTGGCACTTCCTGTCCCACGGAGTCTGCGCGGGTGCCCGCTGCTGCATTTACTTATCTTGTGTCTCTCCTCATCTCCCGTTCGAACATCTGAACTGTGAATGCACCTGCCCCAAAATCCTTTGCGGCCACCGAGACTCTTCAGATGTTCAGACGGGAGCGTGCGGTGAAGACACGGGAAAGTTTGAACCTGTTTGAAAACGTTTGTTTTTAAATAAAAATACGTTTTTGCATATATCTACTGCTTGCTAGGGGTTTAATAACCTTTTAGCTTCAAACTGACCAAAGTAGTTGACATCCATCATTGCTTATGTCATAATTAATCAAAATCAGGCTTTCCTTTCAATGTTTGACTCAAAAGAATATTTTAAATAAGAAAACAAGTGAAAATGGCATTAACAAAAATTATGGATCCCGTAATCTAGTTGGTTTTTTTTGCACAACCTTTAGAGGTAATCAGTGCAAACAAGTGATTTCTGTAGCTTTGAATGAGACCTGAGAGTTCTCTCAATGAGACTTCTGCACCGACCAACAGGTAGTTTGGCCCACTCTACTTGGGCAAACAGCTTCAGCTGCCTCAGGTTGAAGGTTACCTTGTGCAGACTGCATGTTTCAGTTCTTTCCATAGATGCTGAAAAGGATTCAGATCAGGGCTCACAGAAGGCCACTTTAGGTCCGATGTTTTGTTTTTACCCATTTGTGGGTGCTTTTAGCTGTATGTTTGGGGTTATTATCCTGTTGGAGGACCTATCACCTGCAAATGAGACTGAGCTTTCTGACACAGAGCATTACGTTTTCAGACGTAGCAAAGCAGCCCCAACATGTAACAGAACCTACTCCATGTCTCACAGTAGGTGCGATGTTCTTTTATTTGAAATCTTATTTTTTATTGGCTGTGAGCATAAAGCTGATGTGACTTGTCAGAAAGCTTGTTCCTGTCTCCAAAAGACATTCTCCCAGAAACATTGTGGCAAAAACAATATCACATTGGACTTGTTTTCGGGGAACTTCCCCTTCTTCAGAGCTGAGACTCAGCTCTGAAGAAGGGGAAGTTCCCCAAAAATGCGTTTAGCTAGTGGTTGCCAGAGTTCCTGGACATTTCATTCATCTGCACAGCAGTTCATCCAGTGAGGACTACAAGTCCAATGTGATATTGTTTTTGCTCCGCTTGTGAGTATCCTGGTGTTTTCCTTTTACTTTTTTGCTTTAGTCTAAGACATTTGCAGATATACATGACACCATTGCTTTTAATTTTATCACTTCTCAGGAGGAATAAGCTTTGTTTCAATGAGCTTTAAGGGTACAAACAAATTTGTCCACATCTGCATGCCAACCCAGCAGTGTTGTTAAGCTTCTGATAGTACCACCTGTAAGAAACTGTTGTCAGTTTGATGAGCTTTCAAAATATCGGCTTTTGAGCAATTACATTTCTATTTCAATATGAAGCTGCTTTAATTTGATAAAATTGTTCAAAAATGTGGCAACCTGAACGCATTCTGTACACAATTGGTGTACGAAACACCCCCCGAAATGTAATTCCCTGCTTGTGTGATTGGCTGGCAGATTTTCCTAGAAGTCTGTACTACTTTACAACACACAGGGACCATGGGGAAGAAAAGCAGCCACCTTCAGAAGGAAGGACAGAGATGATTTGAGGATCTACAGTTGAGCGATACACACATAAGGTAAATTGTTTTGAATAGTTAGGGTACTTGAATGCATGTTTTAAGATTTAACTCCTGAGTTTAGTGTTAATGGACTTTAAGTTTAAAGGGTGTGTCCGTTGCCTTCATACTTGGGGGTCTATTTAAGAAGAACTGATTGTGACTTTCGCCTTTCCCTGGTGGCGAATCAATCACTATCATTTAAAACTCATGCACCTTTCTCTGGATCAACGGTGGGTAACTGTGGGCATAGTGTTGTTTTAGGTTTTTCTTTTTTTCCCCCTCTTATCTCTATAGGTTAAACTCGATGGACTTGTGTCTTTTTTCAACCTGGCTACCTATGTAACATGGAAGATTCTCCTGTGGAGAAGGTTTTCTGTCATATTCTGTCAGAATCTTACCCTTACTGCTAAGGCTATGTGTACATGGGAGGCTAAGCCCATAGAATGTAAATGCCAAGGTGTCTTCCCCCGCAATGGAGCTGCGTACAGCCTCCCATAGACTTTATCTACTGTACACAGAAAATCTGAGTATGTGTACAGACCTAAATCTCTGTACACAGAAAATCTGCGTCCAAGGATGTATGTCATAAAACTAGCAAAAAGTCACTCGCACTCCAACGTGATGCCCAGTCCAGTCAATCCCTTTATTGCATGGGGATGTTATACCACCTTAGTCAATAAAGGGATTGATTGGACTGAGCATCACGTTGGAGCGCGAGTGACTTTTTGCTAGTTTTATGGGATTTGCGGAGGCATCTGCTGTCGCTGCTGCACCCGCCATGTACGTTGGGGATTTTTCCGGTCAGGATTGCGATGGGACATATCCAATTCAAGGATTTATGTCCACACACATACTGTATGTGGCACTACACAAGTACAGGCCTATACCTGCATACATCTGTGTACACCTATTGACTTCTACAGGGGGGTGTACATAGCACCTGTAGCTCTGTGACAAGTGGACATACACCCGAATTTTAGGTGTACGGCCTTAATGCACCCATGTATTAAGCACATCAAAATAACATAAAAGATGTCCTTATCTCTCATTACCTAAAACTGGAAGGCATGCCTGAGCTATGACTGAATGTACAGTTCCCTGTTCCTCTCAAATGGTATCTTGGTAAAATTAGAATCTAACGTCCAGCAGCAAACAGAACCCTCACATTATTACTGAAAATACATGTGAAAAGCACTGTTCATAACTACAGTACAGGCCAACATACTCCCAGTTAGCAACGTAACAATTCCCGCGCATGCGCCCTCTCCAGCACGGGCGTCTCGTCTATGTGCAACAGAGCATGCGCGATACTGGCCGCGCGTCACCAGTAATTACTTCCTACGCGAGAACTACTGTCCGGTGCTCGTTCCCGTTCGGTGTGTCCCGAGTGATGCCGGAATCGGTAAGTACCCAGCGGGTCGGTAAGGCGGTTCCTTATCAGTGTGCTGTATAGATCTCTGCCTGTCATATTTTACATGATACAGTGACCAGACCTCTACTGCTTCCTGATTAATGATTGCCTGCTGATCATTGCCAGTAATAGGCAATGAATGAGGTGTCTCCAGCAGGCAGAGGTCTCCCTTCTTCTGCTACACATACTGGAGCAGTTGCCCCTGGCAACCAGTTAAGTTTAGTAGTTTGTTGTCAAGTAACCTGGTTGTGATCGGCATCAGCTTTACCTGTATTGTTTAATCTTTACAAACCAAAGATCAATAGTGGATAAAGCGCTGACCAATTCCAGATGAGAGAGTACACAATGTTGGAAACCAAAACTGCCGACAGCCAGGCAACTCCTTGTTTTGGCAAAATATTTTGCTTTGCTAATAATACCTTACAAAGTTGTAGAAAATGTGAACATGTATGTAAACAAAAACCAGGAAACGTTCTGGACTTCAGCTTATGCCGGTTTTCATAAATATACCAATTATATGCGTAGAAATAATAAACACCACCATTAAAATATTTCAGTTGGCAGAAGTTGATTTGTTATTGTTCGCCTCGGTGTAAACTTGTTGCTTTGTATATCATGGTGTGTCTTCCAGAGATACTTTTGTACTTTAGGGCTCATTCACATTGTATGTGACGACTGGCATTTTCAATTAACTAATTAACGCCAGTCGCCGCCAGGGCACATGGAGCACACTTGTCTTCAATGTGCACGTTCACACCCCAACATGCTGCATTTTTCCGGCAGAACATTGGATGGCACTCAGCGTTTTACTGTGCGGGCTAGTGTGAACGAGCCCCTAATGCCGGCTTGTTAGTTGAAATGCTGAAGCCTGTTCAGTGCCCTGAGGGTACTAAGATGTGTAATGTACATTTAGTATAAACAAGGAATGTGCCCTGTGCTCGTAATTCAAGCTGTGAGTGGCCCCATCAGCACTCCTCTGTATGACAAGAGTCGACTTTTGTTAAAGTAGTTTTAAACTCTCAAACTTTTTTCTTTAATGAATCAAACAAATATGCATTGCCCAGCAAAGTATTTCTTTACATTTTTGCCCAGTCATCATGTTTCTGAACAGCTCGAACTCTCTGAGCTCAGCTTCTCTGAACTTCATGTCCAGTACAAGATCATGTAGGACTGAGCAGTCTCCGGCATCTGCCATCTATTAGCTTGGAGATGGTAGGAAAGAGCCAGGAGGAGGGGAATGGTTTTCCTTGCAGTGTTTGTGGAGACACACGGCTTGCTAGCAACACAAGGGTGGCTCCACAGGGCCCTGCAAGGGAAAGGGGCCACCCTAAAACAGGATATCGGGGCCAGTGCTCAGGGGACCAGCTGATTCTGCAGGAAACTAAAACATTTGAAATAGCTTAAAAACCTTTTGACTTTAATATCATGTTGAGGACCGGTTCACACCACAAAGTCTGCCTCCCAGAGCGTTCGGCCTCTGGAACGCAAGCCGGCCGCCTCCCTGCGTTCAGGGACGGGAGGGGGCGTAGCGGTGCACTGAAGTCAATGGCACCACATCCACGCCCACCTGCCCGCAGTGTGATCACCCGGAACGCAGGCACATTAGTGCGATCTGCAAAACTAGTGCTTGCAGTATTTTTGCAGATCGCACTGGCCCAGAACGCAGGCATTAATGTGCCTGCGTTCCGGGTGCGGGTGATTGCCCTGCGGGTGAGGGGCGTGGCTGCGTTGCCACTGACTTCAGTGCAACACCACACCCCCTCCCACCCCTGAATGCAGGGAGGCGGCCGGCTTGCATTCCAGTGCGTTCTGGAGGCCTAACGCTCTGGAACGCAGACTTTGTGGTGTGAACTGGCCCTAAAAGAAGCCAGGCTGAAAATTGTCGGCCCAACAGTGACTTTGGCCGCCTGTCAAAATACAATAGCCAGCAGCAGAGCTTTGGGCATTTTTTTTTCTCTCGGTCAACCCTGCTCACTGACTCTGGTCTCCATGCATTACAGGCTACAGTAATGAGGTGGAGCTCAGTAGGGAAGCTCAATAGGGAAGCCAGTTGCAGCTGCAGGGGGACCCAGGAGATTGGCATTCCCAGACATGTGGGAGTTGCTGAAGACTTTAGAAGATTTCTCATGAGAAGAGCGGCGTCCTGCGGTGCAATAAGCAGAGTAGATAAGTATTTACAGTCCTTTTTTGCAGGTATGGCTCTAAGGGCCCATTTACACCAATTATGGTGCGTTCCAGAGTGGTAGCTGCTGGAACGCACAATCGCTTATTAACTTCCCCCTTCGTTCTGGGGCAGGAGGGGGCGTGGCAGTGCATTGGCACCACAGCCACGCCCCCCTGCCCGCATTGCATGCTCTATATTTTTTGCATTAGCAGTGGACCGGAACACAGGCAATGTTTTGCCGTGCATTCAATCCCACTGCGGGTGGTGGGCGTGGCTGCGGTGCCATTGACTTCAATGCACCACCACGCCCCCTCCCGCCCCAGAACAAAGGGGGAAGTTTAGTGAGCGATTGCTGTGCGTTCCAGCGGCTAACGCTCAGGAACGCACCGGAATTAAAAGCTGTGGTATAGCCTCACTGCTGCCTTTGGAAAAACTGCACATATTTATACAGCGCAGTGAGGTCATTTACAGATGTGCATTGCACTCCACTGGCTGTGGTAGTCCAAAGCTGGTGGAGTGGAATTAAAAAAAAAAAAAGGGGTTGTAAGGGGGGGAACTGGCAAGATAACTTGGTCATGCTACCTGTACCTGCCTCTCCCATCGCTTTTGCTTTAAGAAAAAAAAAAAAGGGGTTGTAAGGGGGGGAACTGGCAAGATAACTTGGTCATGCTACCTGTACCTGCCTCTCCCATCGCTTTTGCTTTAAGCCAGTGATGGGGAACGTTTTTGAACACCAGTGCCCAAACTGCAACGCAAAATCAATTTATTTAGCTCAAAGGGCCAACACTGAAAAGGCCCTTTCATGAGAGGGCAAAGGCAGCCAGGGCAGCCCCAACACATTTGTTGTGAATCAAAATTCAGTGAACAGTAGAAAGGCATCATGGCACACTCACAAGTCAGCATGTAAAACAACTTGTCTCACCACTAAGGTTAATAACAGAGGTTTGGATACACGCCTTCTGCAAAATTCAGTGATCCCCACTCCCCTTGTGTTCAGCAGTCTCCCCTCTGCTCCAGCTTGTGGACTGTTTCTTGGCTCCCGAACATTCAGGGCTATGAGACCTGTATTAGATGTAATAACATCAGCAAACCTCTGACTGCCGGGGCGGAGGAGAGAAGAGGCTGTAGGCATCGGTCCTGGAGCCAGCTGGATCGGGTTAAGGTAACTAAAAGTCCTTTACACCATACCCCTAAAAAGGCATTTTTTTTCCTCCCTGAGATGATGTGCACTGTCACATGTTCCAGGAGGCAGACCCAGAATTCGAGGAAGTAAAGGGAGATGGATTCTTCTTATTGAAAATGGCCACAGTATGAAGAATGGGGAGGAAAAGAAAGAGTATGCAAAGAATAACCCCCCCATTAGAGTAATAGGACAGAATGATTGCAGTAATGCTGGATCAGACTTCTTTTTTGGGTACTTGGGATCCTTTTTTGAAGAATACAAGGGTGTTGTAGATATTATGGAGAACATATGATTTCATAGGCTGCATGATAAATACATAATTCACACAAGCTTTATCTGTAATGCAGCTGCAAGGGAAAATCACATCTACAAATGGTCATCTATGGGCTAGCCATCAAGTCCTCAGCTGATTGATGACAAGGGGACATAAAGGCTTCATTCACACTTGCCGCTTGCGTTTTTTGTGCTCTATATGCAGAGAAAAATCTGTCAGGCTTAAAGGGTTTCTAAACCCTCCGTTTTTTTTTCCTATATCTACTGCTAGCAATCAGTAGATATAGGCAAAAAGTGGGAAAAAAAAGAACCGCTTTAACAGCAGTTTACACTTACCCTATCTTCGCTGCGCGCTCCCGTCCGAGAAAACAAAACTCGGGTGGCCGCAAAGCATCTTGGGGCGGGCGCATGCACAGTTCGGATTTTCGGACGGGAGACGAGCAGAGACGCAAGGTAAGTCTATGGACGCGTGCGCCCACATGCAGACACACCGCTGGATCGGAAGTGCCTGCAAGGACAAAGGAGTCAGCGCTGGATCGGAGAGCCGCAGCACCGCTGGAGGGAAAGATGAAAACATCAGGAAAGAAGATCGGATTAAGGACATCATTTAAGGTAAGTGCTGACATTAAGGCCCCATTCACACCTGACCGTTTTGTAGCGCGTCCTACGCTCGACGAACGCTCTACAAAACGGTCAAAAAAATAAATAGCATTGTAGTCAATAGTATCGTTCCCACCTGTCCGTATTTCCGCCCGTCCCGAACGCACTACAAAACGGCCCACGCATGAAAAGGTCCCGGGACTACTTTGGGCCGTTTTGTAGGGCGTTTTCCATTTGGATACTGCCAAGTAGCCTTTGGAATCGCGTGACGGTCGCGCAATATTTTTTACCGCGAATCGCGGTAAAAAACCGCGTGACGGTCGCGCGACAGACGCGCATATTACAATACGCATAGGTGTGAATGGGGCCTAACATTGGGGGGAGGGAAAACATTTTTTGCCTTTAATGTCACTTTAATGCTGTGTTTATGCTTCTAGATACGTTAAACGCATATACATGTAAATACACATAATTTAAATGCATCTGGTATCAAATTCTAGCATCAAATTGTGTTTACGTGCATTTAGAAGTTGAAATCGATTCCTGTACACACCTGACTTTTTTTTTAATTTTTCTAAATGCAGCTAAAATGACTGCAGATAAAAGCATCTAAACGCAAAGTGTGATAGATCCATTGGAAATCATTAGATGCATATACTATATATGTGTTTAGAAAAACATTTTAAACGCATATAATTGCATCTAATTGCACCTAGTGTGACTAGCCTGATTTTCTAAACTTTCTTCGATTGCAGGCTCCAACCATGGCTAGATGGCAAGTGACAGCTTAAGCCCTCGTTCACACCTAGGCGTATTGCATATGCGCGTCTGCCGCGCGTTTTTTTACCGCAACTCGTTTTGTAGCGCGTTAGGGACGGTCGGAAATACGCCAAGGTGGGAACGAGACCATTGAATACAATGGGATTTATATTTTTGAGCGTTTTGTAGAGCGTTCGTCGAGCGTAGAACGCGCTACAAAACGTTCAGGTGTGAACGAGGGCTAACTCGAGTTTAGAAATACAACAGTTACAGATTTGTATGCAATCGGGAAAGACAGAAGTCCTAATCTGCATACTTATCTTAGGCCAGTGACTTAATAGTATTGAAACACAAGAGTCAGCAGGAGGGCCATGCAAGGTCACCAGTGACCACTTTTTACTCGTGACAGTTTTTCTTTGGTTACTTGTTAGTATTCAAGGAGTTGTGTTACTTTTAAATCCTATGTGCTGAACTTTCAGGTCTGACTGCCTAGGTAGTATTTTAACAGACGTTTGTTAGCTTTACACTGGGGCTATTTCATTTGTATGTGGAAGATAACTTCAATGAACGTGATGTCTCTTTTTCCCTGCAGTAATATTGTCATTGGGTGTGGATAAATCCGTGACCTCTGCCCTAAATACATAATCACATGGATGACTTTGCATACTCTTGCTGGAAATTATGGATACAGTGAGGAAAATATTGATTTGATCCCCTGCTGATTTTGTAAGTTTGCTCACTTACAAAGAAATTAAAGGTCTATAATTTTCTTGTCATAGGTGTATTTTAAATGATAGAGACAGAATATCAACCAAAAAAAAAACATTTGATCCCCGACCAACCAACAATAATTCTGGCTCCCACAGACTGTCTATGTGGTACACAGATTAGTCCTGTCAATCTAAGAACGTGCTCCTAATGACAACTCGTTATGTATATAAAAGACAACTGTCCACGGAATCTCTTTCTTACATTCCAACCTCACCACCATGGGCAAGCCCAAAGAGCTGTCAAAGGACGTTAGGGACAAAATTGTTGACCTGCACACTTTGCCGCATTGAGGTGTCTATGGATGGGGCCATGTATTGTAAAATCTTCGATGAGAACCTCCTTTCCTCAGCTAGAACACTGAAGATGGGATTGGTAGTTCCTGTGGAAACATTTCATTTAAACCTGTGCTCAATACTCAAGTGAGATGAGTCAGTCCTGTTCTTTTCTGGATCTCAGTACCTTTTGTATTGAGAGTGAAGGTTTTTTATGCTAAAATATCTGAAACTGCTAAGACTACATGTTCCGCAGATTCATGCGATATCGTTCATGTTAAACTTGGTTAACTTAGTTTAACCCCAGAGCTCCACAGAGTCTTCCCTCTCCCTTGACAGGGAGATCCAATACTAATACTCAACAAGACATATCTTCAATCGGCTTCACCTACTGATTGAGTCTTTGAGCTGATCCTGTCTGCCCCTTCACTGAAAATTCCTCAGAATGGATGCCAGCCTTTCTGGTTGGGTAGGGATTTCAGCTCCCTGTATGTACATGGCCTGTGCATGCAGGGGGAATCCAAGCTATTGATAAACCTGCTGGAGATTCCTTCCATACACCTGTATATCTCCTACGTTGGAGCTTGCAATATATGACCAATTGGTAAGATTTAAGGCCCCATTCACACTAAGCGACATACCTTTTGCAGCGGATCCGTGCGGCCAGGATAGCGCGACGGTAGCACGACCTTCACCGTCGGTCTCCATTAAAAAAAGGGTCCTGCTGAAGCGACATGGAGCTAACACAGCTCCATTGAATAGCATTGGCCGGCGACTTCTTGCGATATCGCGCAGTGGGAATGGGGCCTAAGAGCTCGACAACATCACAGAGGTAGCATACATAATTTCTCACGGTGGTACAAGGAATTAGACTGAAATAACAGCCTATGGAAGTAACATTCGCCTAGGACACACTTGAGTACATAAAAACAGATTGCACAACACATATTACACATCCTTGCACATGGCTGGGGCAGAGGATTAATGTTATGGCCAGTTAATTCTGAATTGATGAGTTGTAAAGTTTTTTTTGTGTATGCAGTTCTACAAAACTGATTTTGGACTATGTAGCTTTTAATGGGTGCTGTAGAGTACAACACACCTGTGCCATCTGCAACTTGCTGTTACACACACTTGCAAGATTAGTTCTCATGTATTTGCCATAATTTTCAATATTTGTCTAAATGTAACAGCAAAACAACAGGGATCAGTTGTTTTATTTTTCTTTTGACCTTTTTTTTTTTTTGCTAAATAAAATGAAATGTGTCAGTTGATTCAAATAATGATTGGAGAATATATCAATAGTAGTTTGAAGGTCTGCAAAATGTGTTAGTCACGCCATCGCAAAACTATAGTTTCCATGGTGACTTTTTTTGTGTATTGTTAATTTTCTATTCTATTTTACACACTGCTATCAGTTGAATCATACACTGCATCAGGTATGCCCCACAGTGCCAATTCTCTGTCGAGTTTTTTTGTGGCTTTTGCAATTTTCTATCTAAGGTACCTATAGTCATGATTACTATTTCTACAATGAATAGGACACAGATTTAAAAATTACTTCTCTTCCATGTTTTTTTCCAGCTGATGACTGTTGGAATTAGTCTTTGTTAGGTGCTATCCAAAAATGAAATGCATGTCTTTATTTTTTTGCTGTTGGGGAGGCTTTGGTAAAATATCAGGGGTCTAAACAGACCCTTGACATTTCCCTTTTGAAATAGAAAAAGAAATTGAGGACACAGAGTCCTCAATCTCTTTTTCTGCAGCCCCTGTTAGTAATTAACAGAAAGCACTCAGTACAGAGGCTTTCTTTTCATTCAGAAAATGGAGATAGTAATTTACTATCAACCTCATGAATGAACAGGAAGTTATGTAAAGCACTACCTGTTCATTCATAAGTGGGGACACATAGTATGTCTCCAGTTGTTTACAAACATTGTAGTGATCAGCAATCATTACAGTGTTCTGCAAACAGAAGGATCGGTAAGTATTGCACATATTTGCATTGAAGTCAATGGATCCGCAGCCACGCACCCAGTGCGGTCACCCACACCCGAATGCGTGGCACATTAGTGCCTGTGTTTCGGTCCAGTGCGGTCTGCAAAAATGCTGCAAGCACTATTTTTGAAGATCGCACTGGACCAGAATGGCGGCACCGATGTACCACGCGTTCAGGTGCGGGCAATTGCACTGGAGGCGTGGCTGCGCCACCATTGACTTCAATGCCCCACCATGCCTCCCTGAACGCAGGGAGCAGGTCGGCGTGCTTTCCAGAGGCCAGACGCTCTGGAACGCAGACTTTGTGATGTGAACCGGCCCTTAGCACAGATACAGCTTAAACATGTACCTTTTTTCAGCGATTGCTGCGCGGATGTAACCCCATTGAAATCAATGGGGCCGTGTGGCAACCGCTGTGTGCACTAGCACACGATCGTACGGTCCTGGGATGCGCGTCCTAGGTACCGCTCAGATCTGAACCTAGCCTTTATTTCAAACTACATACAGCTCTTTTAGGCTGTATGCAGACAGGTTATGGTGTGGTTGGCCAAAAGGAGAATACAAGCCCTCCAGTTAACAACTGCTAAGCACTGTAGAACCTTCTTCGAACATGTGTCGCTTCCATCACAGGTCCAAAATATAAAGTGGTCATTTTTCATTTTAAGATTCTGGACAAGGCCATTCAAATCATTCCTTTATGTCTCTTTTCTACCTGTTATTTCAGAAGCACTGGCTTATAGCAGAGATATTAGTAATTTATTCCAAACTTCATATATTTTAGGCTTGCTGTCCATCAGTAAAATGCTGTTATGGGGTAGGGCTCGGGACCAACAAAAGAGTATAACCAGACCGGTTTATATTTTAGTATTAACACTGTGTTGGCTATTTCCTGATATTTTAAGGTAAACATTCTAATAAGAACAATAATAATACATTGTAATAGCATGTGTTTACTGATGATACACTAAAGTTTCCCTTTAAAGGAGAACTATGGGGTTAGGGCTTTTCCCCATAGTTCTCCTTGGGGTAAGGGGAGGACACAAACTGGCGTCCTCCCGTCACCCTAAGCTCAGTATACCACGACCTGCAGCTCATACTACAGCTCGCGTTATACTGAGAAGCCGCAGCTGAAGCGGATCCCGACAATTGTGCCGGGATCCGCCCAGCTGCGTGAGTGACAGCTGGATCTGCCTATCTAGAGGCAGATCCAGCTGTACCCGCCCCCTCCTGCGTCCGTTCCGCCAGTCAGCGCTGGAGGGTAGGAGCGCGGAGGGGGGAATCCAGCCCCTCCCCTGTCAGGGCAGAGAGCCGTGACAGGATCGAGAAGTGAGCGAACGCCGGTATGTGTTCGCTCACTTCCCGATCTACTGAGCCGACCTGTGACAGTCTCATTATCACAGGTCGGCTAGAACTATGAGGTGAGTGAAAAGCACTCACCTCCTACTTCTCCTTTAAGTATAGTTTGTTGAAAAGATGGATTTAACTTCTTCTACTTCTTGTTTTTTTTATTACAGCTTTCTTCTTTTTTTCACATAGCTTTGGACTGAAGAACAACCACAATGGCAGAAGCCCACCAGGCTGTGGCATTCCAGTTTACAGTTACACCAGATGGTATTGACCTTCGATTAAGCCATGAGGCTCTTAAACAGGTCTACCTCTCTGGGCTACGATCCTGGAAGAAGAAGCTTGCTCGCCTCAAGGTAAGCAATGTGGCATGATTATTGTGTTTTGTGTCTGTCCCAGTGGAAGAGCCCCTTCTTTATTTATGCGCTTTAAAGAGAATCAGTCACACCTTGGCTTACATAAGAATTTGAACTGATAATTTAAATAATGATGGTTGTGCAGACTTGTAAAAGATTTATAGTTGCTACCTTTTTTATCTCTGCTTACTTTTTCTTTGTCTGACAATTGCGTCAGAACACACACAGAGATCGAGAGTGGTTTTTAAGACCCCTGGCCATTCTTTATTAAGGGGCACACTGCAATAGGATACAGAAAGGGAAGAGTTCAGAGTTACAGGGTCGTAATCCAGACACAGCAAAAGGGTAAATGGCAACAAGGTACAGCAAGGGTAGAGTTCAGGGTCACAGGGTAGCAATCTGGGAACAGAAAAGGGTAAACAGCAATAAGGTAAAGCAAGTATAGGATTACAACTCACACTTAGGGCGTCCGGTCACTCTGCAGCAGGAGAGGGGTCTGCACGGGATGGTAAGCCAGCACGTGGTTCGGGGGCTGGTCTGTGGAGCCTCTTCAGCAGATAAGCTGGATCCGAGGACTACCAGGCAGGCAGACTAACAGGGCAAAGGGACTAGAGATATTTAACCTCTGAGCTTAGGCATGATCCTGAGAATGTGCAACCCGATGCATAGCATCAGGTTGCCCCAGCAAAAGCTCCCCTCTATTCTGGCTTGGCCGCAGCTTAGAGTGCAGCCTTTGTTCACAGCAGAGCAGCATGGGAAGCAGAGCCTCGCTGTACCTGCAAGGGGATTAGATTGCCCAGCACGTAGGGGGTGCGGTGTGTTGGGACCTATGTGTGGGCACTGAGGAACAGGATGGCAGTAAGCTGGCAACCCACCGCGAGGGACAGGATGACCTGTGAAAGGCCCCGCCCAGCTCGTTGGCCATTCTGGGCCTGCTTACTGATAATGCACGATATTCTCCTTTCAACTTTAGAAACTATATTGTTTTTCTGTCTTTTTTTTCTTTTGTGCTATAATTACAACCTACAACCAACCAGACAAAATTGTGAAATGTGATAATGTCCTGTGCTGTCTGCCTGTGCACAAGGTGGGGTGTGGAAGATGAGAGGTCTGTGTTCTTTTTGATGCATCCTAAAGAAAGCAGACAGGGCTTTGGAATCCAGAGCCAAAAATACATAGAGAGTAATTTACTAAGACTGGAGCAGACAGAATAGGGAACAGCTGCAACCAGCTTTTACCTTTAATTTCCAAAGTTTAAAGTCATATTGAAGCTTTAGGGGGTTTTGTTTTATTTTTATCAGTGGGAGCCATCTTTATTGCAGATCTGTGTTTATTTTTTTTATTTCTCGATTCCTCGTTTTCTAGTGGGTCCCCGCATCCTCTCTCCCCCTGCACGAGTGTCGCCAGCAGCTAAGTGGCTGCTGTGGAGGCACCCGTGCGTGTGCGTTCCTAGTTGTTTCTACAGTAGCTGTGTGTGTCCATAGACGCACACAGCCTTGCGGCAGGCCACGCCCCTCCTCTCCGCCCAACAGTTTGACTCACGGCAGAAGGAGCCTATGGTTGCGGTAAAAAGCGCTGTTGACAGGTAAGTGGGGGGTGGGGGGGAATACAGGGGAGTTCAGAGACACTGGGCGTTTTTTACCTTAATGCAGAGAATGCTTTAAAAGAGAACTATAGGGTAAGTGTTTTTTTCCCAATATTTCTCTTAAGGTTCACGGGAGAACATATACTAGCGTCCTGCCGTGACCCAAAGCTCAGTATAAAATCGATAACCGATATACCTTGGACCAAAGCTCAGTATATCGCGAGCTACAGCTCACTATATACTGACCGCGCCGCAGACAGGACGGATCCCGACAATGCTGTTGAGATCTATTCAGCTGCGTGAGTGGCAGCTGGCTCTGCCTATCTAGAGGCAGAGCCAGCTGTGCCTGCCCCCTCCCCGTCCGTTCCTCCAATTAGCGCTGGAGGATTGGAGCGGAGAGGTGGGGAATCCCTGCAGGGAGTCATGACTGACAGTCACCGCTCTCTGCTGGGAGATGATCGAGAAGTGAGCGAGCGACAGTATGCGTTCGCACACCTCCCTATCTGTTGAGCCGACATGTGACAGTTTCATTGTCACACGTCGTCTCGAACTATGAGGATGAGTGATTTTCACTCACCACATAGTTCTCCTTTTAAGGTAAAAAATGCCCAGCCTTTAATACTACTTTAACTGAACAAGCTGAAGATAGAAGCTGATTGGTTACTATGCACAGCTGCTCCAGATTCTGTCTGCTTCAGTCTTAAGGTGCCCATACACCTGCCGATTATTGTGCGATAATCGCGGGAAATCCTCTTGTCTCATGAGCAGGCTGGAAAACCCACCGAGAATCGTACGATTGTCGGCGGGTTTGTGGCCCGCTCTTAAGATAAATTCCGCACGGGCCGGTGTGCGCAAGCGCACACTGCACGTTCAGCATTACAGTCATCTGAAGCCTGCCCCTCAGCGGGGCGGGCTTGCGATGATCGCAAGTACGATCTGCCTGTCCAAGATCGGCAGAGCGTACGTTTTTTTAATTACCTTACAACCATTGCAAGACAAAAGTCTTGCGATGGTTGTAAGGTGTACCGTCAGCTTAAGTATGTTAGGAGCTCACTATATTTCTGGCACATCAATATTTATTTTTCTGTACTTGCAGTGTGTTTAAAGGGATAAAACATAAAGCAAGATGCATGGATTACCCAAATGGACACACTATATTTATAACATTTTGCATTGACATAAGCGTTAATACTTTATTATTCTTTATTTGCAGAATAGTTTTATTACTGGTGTCTATCCTGCCAGTCCTTCAAGCTGGCTGTTTGTGGTGATTGCCATCATGGGAACTATGTACGCTCGTGTGGACCCATCTATGGGGATGATTGGCAAAATCAAAGAACATCTGCCAGTCAGGTAAATGTAGAGAAGTGGTACGAAATTGTAGTAATATTGGCCATAACTGGGTGCTAGTTTAAACATTTAAAATCTCTCTAATAAAGCATGGTAGAATGTTTGGTTTAAAATTGTGTTGAAACTAGTTTGTGCCTAGTCAAGACCTTTAATCACATTAGGAGAAGTTGTAATGCAGGCCAGGTTGATACCTGAAAAATATTGTTTCTTCACCCACTGGCATTTTAACAGCACAGCTTACAAGCTCTTTGGTAATTATGGCAATAGATCTTTTTTTTCCAAAGGTATACCTTCTATGTTCTGCGTAGTGAGTGCATGCCCAGATACTTCTTCCTTTTTTTCTTTTGTTATGGAAAATGTTGTGGCGTTTATGAGATGCAAAAAAATCTTAGTGGAATTTTGTAAAAACAATGCATTGATTGTACATGTTCTGCTAGTTTTACTGATGTGTTCAATCATTGGTGATATGTTTCCCTCATGTATTTGCAGTAGCTACCTATCTCACCAGGGGCAGAGCATTATCAGCGCTCTTCTCTTCTCTACGGGTCTGTGGTTTGCACTTATCATGACCATGCGTTACATCCTGAAGCAGCTCTTATCCTACCATGGCTGGATGTATGATCAACATGGCAAGATGTCCGCCACCACCAAGCTGTGGCTGGTAAGAGGGTTTTTGTGTTTTCATACACAGTCTGGCAAGATTGCCAGACTGTGATGTGGATATATAGTGCAGTGTGTGGTTGGGTGCAGTGAGGAGAATTAGACTTTATGATGGGACATGTGGTGATATGGTGAAGAGAGTTGGACATTCCCATGTCTATAGGTATCTGAAGACACTGCTGGTGCTGGCATTTAAAGGAATAAATGACCATGCAAGTTGGTAATCCGTGCTTCTTCATTGTTTTCTCCCCAAAATAAACCAGCACCAGAACGGTTTGCATGTGTCAGTCCTTGTTTATAAAAACTTGCATGTTTGACAGAAATTATGACCAATAAGACTGCATGATGATCGGATCAAATCTTCATATCCTGTTGTTGTCTAAAGTCTACTACTTTTTCATGCTTTTGTTTTCTTATACTCCACTGTATACACTTCCAATGTGTATTCTATGCTCTATGCCATTTTCAGAATAACACAGCTCCAGTTTAAACTGAGCTGGTCTGTTTGCTTTAGCAGCATTGAAGATGTGTTTGCTTTTGCACAACCCCCAAGCAGCTGATTGTCTTGGGCCGCAGAGGGAGACCCTTCTATGTGAAAGTAATAGTATTTTTGTCAGCTAGCATTGTTTCATAACTTGGCTTATATGTTCCTTTTATTCATTTAGACTTTGGTGAAGATATTCTCAGGCCGTACGCCTATGCTGTACAGCTACCAAGCGTCACTTCCTCGCCTTCCTGTACCAGCAGTTAGGGACACAATGCAAAGGGTTAGTATCTCCACACTAGATGCATACACTTTCAAGAATTTTTGTTTTGTTGGGACATTAACTTCTTTTATAAATCTGTGCGGAATTACTACGTATATTGTACAAAAATCTCAGCTGAAGGGTGAGTACTTCCAAAACGTCTAATTTAATAGTTGACTTCCATACAAAAGGATGCAACGGGTCTTTACATGCCTCAAGCATTTTAGCAGTGGAAAAAGGTAGAATAAAAGTGCTAAACCCCCAAATAAGAGCCTCTACTAATGTCGACACCAATTTTAAGTTACCTGACCCAGAACCCGAGTAAACACAACAAAACCAACTAAGAAACAAATACAAAAATAAATAATGTTATTGATAACATCTTTCCACAAGCCCTAATTCAAAAGCTATGTAGAAACAAAATTATTTTAAAACAAAATGCCCCCATAGCTATATACAAAAGCATCTGTCTAGGGGAATGAAAGACCAATCATTAAAGTATATCTAAAGCCCAAACTTTTCTGTTTTGTTTTGGGTAGATTAGGGGAGGGTTAAAACCTTTTTTTTGCCATTTGTGCCTTATTAGGAAGATTTTCCTTAACTTCCTGCACTGTAGATTAAACAGGAAGTGAAAGGATATCATGGTAACAAGTGTCCCCATTGAAAGATTACCCCTCTATTCCTGTTTTAGTGGCAACTCAAAATTTTGGATTTACTCATCTCTTAATTCACAGTGACATTCAGACCGCCGGTACCTGTGACTGTCTGAATACCCGAACAATGGCTGCATATGATAGGATGTGATGACTGTTTGGCCAAAAAAATAATTTTTGTGGATGGTGCCAAAAGGGCCACCCACTGCTTGAATTTCAGCAGATTGAGCAGCAATCAGCCGAAATTTGAACTGCGTATTGCAGGCTTAAAAGAGAACTATGGGGTAACTTTTTTATCCCATAGTTCTCTTTAGGGTCAGTGGGGGGACATATACTAACTTCCTCCCATGACCCAAAGCTGGCTGATTGACAGCGGGCTCTGCCTATCTAGAGCCTGCTGTTCCTGACCCCTCCCCTGTCTGTTCCTCCAGTCAGCGCTGGAGGATCGGGGAGGGGGGGGATCCCTGTGGGGAATGGTGACTGACGGCCACAACTTTCTGCAGGGAGATGATCAGGAAGTGAGGGAGCAACGGTATGTGTACGCTCACTTCCCGATCAATGGAGCCAACCTGTGACACTTTCAATGTCACAGGCCGGCTCTAACTATGAGGATGAGTGTAAATCACTCACCTCATAGTTCTCTAAGTCTAAGAGGCTAAAAAGAAGGTTCTGTTAAAATGAAGAGCAGCCTTGCCTACAGTATTTGCTAAGTAATCTACATAGTAGTATTGACATATTCTGTTGACACAACCTCTGTGAAAATTTAGAATGATAATATAAAACAAACTTAAAAGATTTTGTTTGTGCTATTCATTTAGTATAGAATATTGAGGCCCTATTTGTCTTCACTCTTACCTCCTATTTGGCATTACCTTATACCCTGTAACACCTTGTGTTATTTTATTAGTATTTGGAGTCTGTAAGACCTCTGATGAATGATGAGGAATTCAAACGCATGACGGCATTGGCCAAAGATTTTGAAGTGAAGTTGGGTCCTAAGCTGCAGTGGTACCTGAAGCTGAAATCCTGGTGGGCATCTAACTATGTAAGAACATTAATATTTACCTATTAAAGTCTGCACTGGTCTTATTTTCTAAGTTAAAAGTTTTTTTTCTTACATGCATTTCTAATTTCTAGCTTACATACTTGTCTTGATTTAGTTTATATATAACAGTGTTCGTTTTATTGAAAGTTGAGTTTTGTTTTTGTGTTTTTTTTCAGGTTAGTGATTGGTGGGAAGAATATATTTATTTGCGTGGAAGAGGCCCTATTATGGTTAATAGTAACTATTATGCAATGGTGAGTATGAAAGTCCCAAAAAGGAAACCTTAAGAAAAGTGTTGTATTTATAGAGTTCTTTAAGAAGTTGTCCACTTTCATAGTGTAAGTGAAAGACCTTTTCTTTTTGCTACTCTGCTATTGTCAGAGAGTGTGCTGCTTAAAACTCCTAGACATAATCCTTTGTTATAAATTACATTATTTCACAGTATCCGGTTGTTCTTATGACTAATCTAACATGCATTGGTATGAAAAGCCATGTGATTACCATTTAAAGGTAGTATCTGTGCCTTGGCATAGCCATTGCTTTGCTAACTCTGCCTGAATATTACCATCTGACAAGCACCCATGTGACTTTTTGCTAGAGTTGTAACAGTGAAGCTGCAAGGCTACCACCGCTTAGATCTGTTCAGCTTTCTTTGGCCTCCTTCAAAACACATTGCTTTTCAGTGAACTTCAGTCTGTGCCTGCATGAAGCAACCTGCACTGGAATCCGTTGAGATACTGTAGATAATCTATATAAAATGGAAGCTGTTGTACCTATATAATGTAATGCAAAAGGCAAACTCCAAAACACTACTGTGCAACTAACCATTCTTGCCTGCTAAATGAGTATCCCTCATCATTCATAGACAGTGCTGGGTGGCCCACTTCATTGATTGTGAGCTTCGAGATGTTTTTATCTGTACTCCACCCTGGGCGAGGCACTAAGGGAGGGATATGTACACAAAAGTGAAATCCACAGCACCAAATGGACTGCCTAATGTGTTTAAAATGACACTAAATTCAGGAGTTAAACCTTAAAATGCATTCAAGTAACCTAACTATTAACGAAAATGTAGCCTATTTGTGTATCACTCGGCTGTAGATCCTCAAATCATCTCTAAATTCATACTGACACTGTCCTTCCTTCTGGAGGGTGGCTACTTTTGTTTTCCATGGTCCCTGTGTGTGTTGTAAAGTAGCCACTGCTCCAAGCTCGCTCCCGTGATGGACTGAAATCACGCATTTAATTTACTAAGTTGTACAGATTTGTATGTGCATTGCAGTGAAGGTTTCCAGATTCCCCAGCCTTTCCGAAAAAAATAAGCATCTGTAGATGCTGTACTTGCCACCTCTCAAAGTGCTGTCCTCTGCAGATTACCCGCTCCGCAATCTAGCATTGTTCCTCTTCTGGGTTGCATGACCTCCAGCATCATGCAACCCACTACCTGTGAGTGCAGATAGTCATGGCTCTCCACCTGGGGGGAGTGTCAACATAACCCTATGCACTCAGAGTTTAATGATGTGGAAAACAGCGCTGATGTTCTCATGCCAGTGACACTCTCTGCAATATTGAGGACTGCACATTACTGCAGACAAGGTAGAGAGGATCCTGCTGCATCACATGACTAGCCTGAAGGCATCTGAAAAAAGATAAGTGTTAAATATGCCTTCATTTTTGCTGTTCTCCACATTCACATGCAGACCCAGCTGTCCAGCAACAGTGACAGAATAGGGGTAAGCTATAACAATGCCAGAGGTGCCTTAAAGGTCACAATAACAGTTTTTTGTTTTTCTTTTAAGGCGATTTAAACCATTTGGAATAAAATGAAACCATGGTGAATAACCCTGGCCATAGTGTTGGATGTTTTAACCACAGTCCATTTTGCTGGATGGCTTAATCTGCATGTAAATGTGGAAAAAATATAAATTGGGCATGTAAAATGAACATGCATTATGCAAATGAACGTGCATTAACCCCATACACTCAATACTTAAAGTAGTATTAAACATACACATACAGCTTACTAGCGCACACAATGAAAAGACTTTAATATCACTTTAATATTTTATCACTGGTGCTTAATCATAAGTTAAGGATGGAATTTTTTTTTCTATTTTTTTTTTTTTTTTGAAGGAGCAACATTTTAACTAGGAATGTGGTTTTCATTTAAGAAACTCTATTTATTCCAAAATCGAATGTAAAAGCCAAAGCAGTTTCAAGCAACATTCGTCAGAGCTTTGATGTCACTCGAAAGTTCTGACGTGATTTTTCATATGAATGTTCATATGAAAATCTACCAGTGTATGACTAGCTTAACACCAGGGGGAAACAGGGGTCTATGTCAGGGGGCGTAGTAACTCGGCATTTAACATCTAGTACATACTAAACTGCAATGATATAGTAATGTACCATAATATATGTAATACAGTACCATAATAAAGAGTAATAAAATGAAATGGTTTAACCTCTTGGGGGGGAAAGCATTATGGTAGTTACAGAGACACAGATTTTTAGCTCTCATTTGAATGTAAACTGTAATTGATCCATTGATCGCGATGCGCTTTCGCATATGCATTTTTGATGCGTTGTGGTGCGTTTTTCTTGGGTTTAAGCTTGGTTTTGCTTGGGAAGCACATTCTAGTGCATTTACATGCTTTTTTGCACATTCCAGTGTAAAAAAAAAAGCATGCTTCTGTACTTTTTTAAAAAGCTGTGGAACTGAACGCAATAGTGTGAACTAGCCTCATTTAAAACCATTGGAATTACCGTGTATGCATTCACCGGGCAGGAGATGGTGTTAACAAGCTTCTAGAGAGCATAAAACTTGCTTTGATTGCCACCTGTTGGTTACAAGTGGAAATTTTAAGGGTATGTCTCTTCTGGTGTTCCAGATTCCCCCTACAAGCCCAAGCATATTGCCTGGCTTTTTACTAATGTGTGCGTTGGGTATGTTCATCATAGATCAGGGATGTCCAAACTGCGGCCCTCCAGCTGTTGTGGAACTACGAATCCCATGAGGCTTTGCAAGATTCTCACAGCCACAGACATGACTCCCAGAGAGAGATGTTTCATGGGATTTGTTTTTTCACCACAGCTGGAGGGACAGAGTTTGGTCACCCCTGTCATAGATGTAAGACCATCTGCAGCATCAGATGTAGGACCATTTGGGGCAAGGATTTTTGTCCTTTTGCTGTTTTAAGTTATAAATAGTTCAAATGAAAATGTTATAATTTTGCAATAATATATTTGTACATTTACACTTTAGGACTTCTTGTATGTGACACCAACCCCAGTCCAGGCAGCTCGTGCAGGTAACACCGTCCATGCTCTGCTTCTCTACAGACGTAAGCTTAGCCGAGAGGAACTTAAACCGGTAAGATGATAGTGATAATGTGATTATCCATTTAAACTAAGATTTCATGTATGAATATTGTTCAATGTATGCATACCATTTAGGCCTCATTCACACTGCTTAGAGTCGGCCCGTTCCCAGGTAGGACAGGTGCTGTGTGTGATTGTATGCAGCAGCCTGTTCTTCTCTATGGGAGTACACGGCCGTACGCCGTGCAATCACACGCAGTGCCTGTCCTTCTCAGGAACGGCACAATACGGCCGTGCATGCCGCACGGATCTGTGCAGGCCAGCTCTCAACTGTGTGAATGAGACCGAACAGTGGAAGTATACAAATATACAATTAAGCAAAACCATGCCAGTACTGTACTTGGTTAAATTTAAGTGAATCTGTCACAGTCCCTACTAACAATATAAAATAAAAGCAAGTACTACAAGGTTCATGCACCTTTTTCAAATGTACTTTTAGTCAACTCTGCATGGGGGCCCCCCTCCTCATGCAGATCTAAAGTGCATGCCAGAATTGCATTCTGGACTTCAATTGGATTAATTTTAAAGTTATTACCTACTACACAACTATGCAGTTAGAGCATTATTATTGTCAGTTGAGGCAATGTCTGGATAGTGGTACATGGGGAGTAGGGCACAGTTGTGAAATCTGAGAAATTGAGGCTGCACTTTAACCACTTAAAGGCCATAGTGTTTCACCCCCTTCCTGGCCAGGCCATTTTTCAGTATTCAGTGCTGCGGTACTTTGACTGATGTTTATTCTGTCATGCAACACTTTACTGAAACAATTTTCATACCATTTTTTGGGGACAGATAGAGCTTTCTTTTGGTGGCTTTTATTCACCAATGGGGTTTTTTTTTTTACTATATAACATAAAAAGTACCATAAATTTTGAAAAATTTTAAATTCCTCCTTCCACACAGTTGAGCATAGATGAAGGAATCTGTTGCACTTTTTCCATCAGACCATAGAAAATCTGCAGATAATCTATAGGTGTATGGCCAATTTAAGGAATATGTTTGTAGACTTGAGTCCTAACTTTCAGCTGCATTTCCCTTAGATGAATGACTAGTTAACACATCTCTGGTCTTGATGTCAAATTTGAACCCCGCACCAAACCCCGCAGCATTTAATTCTATCACAAAGTTCAGGATGAGTAGATTAGTGAGTAGATTTTCCCCCCATTCCCAGTGCAGTTGGAATAATCTGGATTTGATTTTTAAAACTGTTTTCCCTCTAGTTAGCTTTCTAGAGGAGACATTTAAATGATTAACACCGGTAGCTTGGCATGTCACAGCCATACTGGGAGATCTTCTGAAGATCACATCGAACTTCAGAGACTCGGAGAGGTATTAAAACCTACCCATCCACAATGGACCAGTAATCCACAGGTTAAATGCCACTTTAACATGAACCTGTAAAGTTCCCTTAAAGCTGAAATCCAGGCTGAACAAACATTGTCTAAATACAGGAGCCATGTGTATTCTTTTCTTATACTTTGTATTTTTTTTTTTTAGATCTATGTATTAATCCCATATAAAACAACTTCTGCCTTTTCTCTCTGTGTAGGAATTTCCTGTTGTAAAGACCGGTCACTGCTGCTCTCTCTCTCCCTGTGTAGTGTGACTGGTCTTGTATCTTCCACCTCCTGTAGTTTTCTACATGTAGTCTGTAGTGGGTTGAGCTTTTGAGCCCCTTCCACAGCTCTGCTCTCTGCACTTGATATATGCAGAACAGTGATGATGTCACTGCTGTTTTCACAGTGGTACCATTTGGATTTGTAAAGTGGATATGTATGCCTTTGTGGCCTATTATTAATAAACGTTTTTGTGCCCAAGGTTCAACTTTTAGGTCCTGTACACACATTCAGGGGAGACCTGTGTTTTACCACACCAGATCAACAAAGGTCACCCCTTGTCATAGGCACTGCTCTGCAAAAAAATGCAGCATGCTGGATGCCACTGCTGGTCACCGCATGGCAGCGCACCCGTTGCTGAGCAAGGACCAGAATGGAGTGTACACATTTTACACTCCCATTAAAGTAAAATAGAAAAACAATGTAAGCAGTGACAGCTTCAGCAGTGTGTGATACAACACAAACTTACGGAGGTGCAACAGCACACTAGCCCGCCTGCTAAAATGCAGCATTTTAGCAGACAAGCTAGTGTGAATGATCCCTAACCTAATTAGCTATTTTAGAAGGACATGACAGGTTCACTTCAATCTGAAGCAATCAGCGGAGAGTGGTCTCATGTTTTGTCAACACAGCCCCTCTTATTTACTTTTGTTGGTATTCCAGATTACCCTCTTGATTATTTTGATTAAGTGGTCCAATACCTGAACAGCTGAGGGCTCGTTCACACCAGATGCAGTGCGTTCCGGCCCTATTCTGGCCAGAACACACTGCCTCGCATTGCGGCTGGCTCACTTTTTTGTGGGACAGGAGGGGGCGTGGCGGTCCATTGAAGTGAATGGCACTGTAGCCCTCTGGCCACAATGCGATCGGCCGCAGGGGATCGCAAGGCAACATTATGCATGCGGTGTGGTCCGTAGCGATCAAAATGCTGCAAGCACTATTTTGATAGCACCGGACCAGAGGCATAATGTGCCTTGCGAACCCGTGCGGCCGATCGCATTGCGGCCGGAGGGGGTGGCTACGTTGCCATTCACTTCAATGGACCGCCATGCCCCATCCTGCCCCACAAAAAAGTGAGCCGGCCGCAATGCGAGGCAGTGCGTTCTGGCCAGAAACCGGCCGCACTGCATCTGGTGTGAATGAGGCCTGAGTGAATATGTATCTTATTTTGAATATGTTTTCATAGTGGGAATCTAGGTTAGACAATGATGTCACCTCTCTTGAATTGTGTTATTTTCCCCCCATGGTATGTCTACGATGCTTCTGTACCCATGACGTCTCTCCCTTTTCTGTAATAACTGGGTACAGAGCAGGGTCCCAGGATCTATTATCCCGCTGTGCTCGGCCCAGTGGGAACGCGCCTTTAACACCACCCGCTTACCTGGAGAGGAGACTGGTAAGTGTCCAGTTGAACCCAACTCAGAATCCTTATGGTGAATGGGCCCTAACATAAACCAGAATCGTTTTCTCTTCTTTTCAAATGAGATATCTGTATTTTAGGTTTTGGGGTCTATGTCTGGAGCTTTGCATTGAAATTAATTTGCTAAGAGGCAAGTTCATCTGTATCTGACACTGACAGTTTAGCTAGCCCATTGCATGATCCATTTATTTAAGATTCTGCACACCCAAAACTGGTATTACAATTATGGGTTATGGGTCAGTGAGCTAAACCCCATGAATTCTTCTTTGTTTTCTCACACACCAGAGATCTGCATAAAATTTCCTGGCTCTGCCAGTGTATCTATCCAATAATTATTAGTAACAAAGTCCAGTTTTAAAGCTCCAAACATATTCTTTAAAACCTAAGGAGCTTTAAACTGGTAACCTAAGCTCCTACAAGGGTAAAGGTGTACCTGTAACTAAATCTTTGCATCAGTTGTGTCAGTAGATGTTGGGATTAACATGTATGTTGTACTGTATTGATGAATAATCTTTCTTTCATGGAATGTCTTTATTGATTTGTGTCTTCTCTTTGCCTCCTTCTCTTCTCCTTTCTGTGTTTGTTTTGTTTTTTATGTTTTGTTTTGTTTTCTTTGCATCCTGCTATATTAATTGATCTATTACCCACAATGCACACCAACCAATACTGTTTATTGTCCATTAAAATTGTCTTACCGTGTATTGTCTATTTTTACCTTACATGTCTGTAATTTACACACCCTTTGCCTTGCATGTATCATCATTTTGCTGTGTTTTCCTGGTGTTCTTTTGTCTTCTATTTGTTGGTGTTTGGTCCCTGTCTGCCCTTTTATACAGCTGATGATCCAAGATTGTTTGCCTATGTGCTCTGCTCAGTGTGAGCGCATGTTTAACACGGCACGTATTCCAGGAATTGATACAGGTAGGAGCAATCTTGTATACCTGCAGGATCATTGACTAATAGCTTATAAGAGCCCTCAACAAATTTGCTTACTACTTTCACGCATGGCGCTGAAAGTTGCTTATTGTCAGTAGTGCAAGTCAGTGTCAAGTAATTTGGCCAAATCCTTGGATATGAAATTGCATTTTAGTCTCTGCTCTTTGTGTTTTCTCTTCTTCCATCTGTCCAGACTATTACTGTCTTATTGCATTAACGAATAGCAAACTAATTTTCCCATAAACAAAATAACACTAAAGAATTTTTAAAGGCACTCTGCTAAAATGATAAAATACTTAAAGGAGAACTATGGGGTACGTGCTTTTCCCCATAGTTCTCCTAAGGGTAACGGGAGGACACAAACTAGCATCCTCCTGTCACCCAAAGCTCAGTATACCATGAGCTACAGCTCTCGGTATACTGAGACGCCGGAACGGATCCCGACAATGCTGTCTGGATCCGCCCCGCTGCGTGAGTGACAGTTGGCTCTGCCTATCTAGAGGCAGAGCAAGCTGTACCCACCATGTCCGTTCCGCCAGTCAGCGCTGGAGGAGCGAAGAGGGGGGAAATCCCTGCAGGGAGCCGTGAGTGACAGTCACAGCTCTCTGCACGGATAGATCGAGAAGCGAGCGGGCGACGGTATGTGTTTGCTCACTTCCCGATCTACTGAGCCGACCTGTGACAGTTTCATTGTCACAGGTCGGCTCAAATTATGAGGCTGAGTGAAAATCACTCGCCTCATAATTCTCCTTTAATACTAACTGATACTTTTTGAAAACCCAGAACGCACTGCAAAACTGTTGCTATGGGTGCATCCTGTATTATGTGTTTATCTGTAAAATAGATACAGATTATAAAACTTGTAAACATTAAGCCCAACTGTGCCTTCCCCAAAAATTACTAAAGGGTTCTAAAAAATACTAATTCTGCAAGTCTTGTTTTTTTAAAGTCTTCTTTTTTTATTGCTGGTAAATCTCAGTCTGTTTCCAAGTCCAGTTTTGGGCAGGAGGCTGTGGAGAGGTCAGCTGTTGTCTGCATGAGACCACTCCTTATGCACAGATAGCAGTGGTACTTTTTGAGATTTATATATCCATAAAAAATGTAAGACTTGCAGAAAAATAAAGTGTATCCCTACCCAGAAGCAACATTTTATATACTTCAGCTTACCAATCCTTAAAAGAGAAGTAAAGCCAACCCTTTTATTTGGCTTTACTTCTTTGGTTTACAGGACTACATTTACTAATGTACATCTGTTACCCAAGGGCAGAGCCACACCACAGTCAGGAATGATCTTATCAATATTTTTGGGGTCCACCCCAGCTGCCTAACGACAGCTGGCTCTACCTCTCTAGAGGAACAGAGATGAAGGACGGTGTCGGCACCAATTCAGAGATAATTAGAGGTTCTACAGCCGAGTGATACTCAAATAAATAAGATATTTTTTTTTACTTTCTATACAGTGGTTGGGTACTTAAAGGAGAACTATGGGGTCAGTGTTTTTCCCCATAGTTCTCCTTAGGGTAACGGGAGGACACAAACTAGCGTCCTCCCGTTACCCTAAGCTTAGTATACCGCGAGCTAAAGCTTGCGGTATGCTGAGACGCCACAGCCGGAGCGGATCCCGACATCGACGTCGAGATCCGCCCAGCTGCGTGAGTGACAGCTGGCTCTGCCTATCTAGAGGCAGAGCCAGCTGTACCCGCCCCCTCCCCGTCCGTTCCGCCAGTCAGCACTGGCAGATCGGAGCAGGGAGAGGGGAATCCAGCCCCTCCCCCTGTCACGGCAGAGAGCCGTAACAGGATCGAGAGGTGAGCGAACCCGGTATGTGTTCGCTCACCTCCCGATCTACTGAGCCGACCTGTGACAGTCTCATTGTCACAGGTCGGCTAGAACTATGAGGTGAGTGGAAATCACTCATCTCATAGTTCTTCTTTTAATGGTAATTTTAAGGTTTAACTCCTGAGTTTAGTGTCAGTTTAAATGCTGTAAGTTTTTTTTATTTTCTTGATTTCATTTAGATGTGCATGATGCCTAGACAAGCACATAATTGACAAGCAGGAATGGCAATGGAATATTTATTTTCTTACTTTTAATAAGGCATGTGCTTTATAAAATCGCAATTTTAAAGGCTGATGGCACAGAAGGCATTAAATCAAGCAGGCGAGAAAAGCATCCTAACAGTTAATTTAGCTCCAAAATGCATTTATTCTTTATAGAAAAATTGCTACTTGGCACTTTTGTACCCTTTAAAGACTGGCAGTAGAATTTGATAAGCTTGCTTTTAATAAGTTTTAAAGCAAATAAAGGCAATTTATGAAATGTTGCTTGACCTGCTTTTTGAATTTCTAACATATGTTTCTAAAGTTAAAGTTGTGATGCTATGTGTGTATTTATAGACACAATAGAACATTTTTGGTAACTTATGTCTCAGTAGATGTTTCTTATCTCATGCCAATCTCTGTGCAGACACCATCCAACACCACTCTGACAGTAAACACATAGTGGTGTATCACAAGGGGCGCTTCTTCAGAGTCTGGGTTTACCATAGCGGACGTTTGCTGAACCCTAAGGAGCTTGAGCTGCAGTTCCAGCAAATTCTAGATGATACTAGCCCTCCTCTGCCTGGGGAGGAGAAACTAGCTGCTTTAACTGCCGGGGAGAGGTAAGGAGCCTTTTTGTTTTAGTTTTAAAAGTTCATAGCATATAAAGGGTCATGCCATGTAAAAAGTACATGCACACAGCAATGGCATAAAGATGAGGTCTAAAGGCAACCCCCCCACATAAGATGAAACGTCTGGACCAGGTAATAATGTCGTGTTCCTGGGGTGGCCCCTACTCGCCACTGTCAGTGGGAATTTAAACCAGGCAAGTTAGGAGCCCTGCCCTGATCACTATGGTTCACTTAGAGATAAACAAGGCCAGCAGGGTGTGTCTCTTTCTCCTGCCTCCTCTTTCTATTCACATCCTCAGGAACATTATAAGAACCAGACTATTAGTGTTTTTGATCTGGACGCTCAGCACATCCATGTGAAAGTTTCAGTATCTCCATTTTGTATCTCTGAATTGTTCTCTTGCCTGTCTATTACATAACTGCCCACAATAGGATATGTATGTTTCAATTGTTTTCTCGGTCTTGCTTGTAGGACCGTGTGGGCCAAAGCTCGTAAAGCATACTTCCGCAGTGGGAAGAACCTCCAGTCATTGGATATGGTGGAGAAAGCAGCCTTCTTTGTCACCTTAGATGAAAGCGAGCAGGGACTTCGCAGTGAAGATCCAGTGAATTCATTGGATGCCTATGCAAAATCTCTATTACATGGGCAATGCTATGACAGGTCAGATTAAAGAAATGTATGTGTGTGTGTATTTGTATGTATGTGTGTACAATAAAATCCCAGTTATCAGGCACCCATGGGAATCAGTAGGTGCTGGATAACTGTAGTTTCTGGTTGCTTGAGAGTAAATAGTAGCCAGCTATTGTATTCTGGCAGCCAACACCCACAGCTCCCAGAATACGCGGAGACTGCAGCCGATTTGCCTGGCTGTCTTGACCTAAATGCTTTTTCACTGACCCGGAAGAAGCATGCAACCAGTGAAATTAGAGGAATGTTAGAACTCCTGATCTTCATACTTGTTCCAGCTCATTGACTGCAAGACAAATTTGGATTTTCAAAACAAGAATTCGGCATTAGCAACCTACATATTTTCTGGTTAAGGTTTCTTTTAATATATTTAGCTGGAGGAGGTCTTTGAAAACAGTCTTTATAATAACTTAAAATACTTGGTAGAAGATATACAGAAATGTTATTCTCGGTCATATCTTATTAAAGTGTATTTAGCCTGGACTTTGGTTTTAATGATTTTTAATTCATACATAACTGCATGCATTGGTGTATTTTATATTTGTTTGGAGTGCACTGTAGATTTGACACTTTGTATTTTGTTTTCTTTTTAAATATGTAACATGTCAATTTCCCTTTTATGTTCTCCTCAGGTGGTTTGATAAATCAATTTCCTTCATTGTCTTTAAAAATGGAAAAGTTGGAGTGAATGCTGAACATTCATGGGCAGACGCGCCCATTGTTGGACATCTGTGGGAGGTACAAGGATATGTTTTCTGTTTCCATACTTGTATAACGTTGCCTTTTTTTCTCTTTTATGTAATGTATCTTAATGCCTTTTCATCATACCTTTCAGTCTATGTTGGCTACAGACTGCTTTCAGCTTGGATACAATGAAGAGGGACACTGCAAGGGCCAGGCTGACCCGTCAGTGCCTTTGCCACAGCGGATGCAGTGGGAAGTCTCTGAAGAGGTAATGTCTTAAATACTGGTAAATCTACAATAGGTCAGTTCTTAAATGCCGCGTTTTCATTTTTTTTTTACTCTGCTCACAATATTACTGTTGCAGCAGTTTGTGTTGACCACAAGCTCTCTGTCTGATGGTGTAGGAGCTTATACAGCTTTAAAGTAGGTCTAAACCTAAGTACAAAAATGTAATATTTTGCAGCTTACCAGTCCTTCGAAAAGGATTCGTTTCTTTTTTCAGGCTTTGTCTTTATTTTCTTCTGGTGATTCTGCCAGTAGCACACTTCTTGTCCTAGAGCGACAAGGCTCACTCACTTAATTGTACCTATGAAGGTATACGGGTTGTCACAAGGACAGGAAATGTTTGGCTCTACTGAACACGCCCCTTCTCCATGCCATAGCGGGTATTTTGTAGTCCACAGAGAGACCTGGTAACAATTTTAGCTGATGACAGTGCAGCAGAGGCAGAAAGTACAAAAGGCAATTTTTTTGGCACTCATCAAATAAATATAAAAACAGCTTCAGTGGTATGTTTAAGAAACTGAAATTTGAACATAAGTGAGAACTTAATTGTTCGGGTTTACTGAAAATTAAAAGCTGATTTCCACTCAAAACAAAAGTCCCCGTTTTTGTTTTTTTACCCAGAAATAGTCTCTTAACAACTTCATCTCCCTCCTTGTGAGATGACAGTGTTTGGGCCCGGTTATTGTCTACTCAGGCCCTTGCACTGTATCCTTACAGGAGGTCACATGCTTCCCCATACTTGTTAGCACCGGTAATTTACTGAGGGCCCCAAGAAGCAATAGAGTGAATATCAACAAGTAGGGGTATTTATTACAAGAGAACCTTTTACTTTGCCCTTAGTGTAAATTCGCAGTCACCCTAGTCTCGGTTGGTTGGATCAGACTTGGGGACCTTATGATGGTTGGTAATAAATATACATATACATGGTATATATCGGCATGTAAGTTATGTTCATCTTTATATAAGGGGTTTCATTGAAATTACCCCTTGTGTTTATAAAGTAGTTAATTCTCTTTTTCTTTTTTTTTAATGAAATTCCTGAAGTGGAATATTTACATTTTAAAACCGCACTAGGACAAACTAGTAATCCTGCCAACTTTCTAGATGGCTAAACAGCCTGCACGGGTCCCATACCGATGAGCATCTCCTTCCCAGTTTTTCTGATTATATCTAAATTTATAGCTCATAAACCAAAATTGAGATATCCAAATTCTATTTAACTGTATTTATTATTTATTTATATAGCACAGCTCTTTACATAGTACACATTCACATTATATTCATAAAACTTTACTTCTTGAGAAAAAAAATGTTCTGGGGCCTCCAGTATATTACAAGGATATTGGCACATTTTACATTTCATCCTGTTTCTGACCTGGAAATATTTCAAAAGTTTTTGGGGTTTTTTCTGTGTGCTGCCGACATTTTTAAAATGAGAGCCAAATGGTCGTTTTGCCAAAAGGTTAAGGTAGTCAACCCAATAGATTGTATTTAAAATACCAATAATTGTAAGGAACATTTTGACACGTGAGGTTTTTGTGTAACCGCTTGTAATGTATATCTCCCTGTTGAGTTTTCTAAATGAAGATTATATATTAAAAAAAAGCACTACATGTCCCATGAACTTTCAGCACCTCATCCTGCGAAATCCCTTCTTTCTAAAAGTCGAATCATCATTAACGTATTAATGTTATAGCTGTGTTTTATTATATTGTTATACTGTCAACAAAATAGACTATTCATAGCTTGCTTCCATCACCCTGATCCCCCCCCACCCCCCTGTAGTGGATAGCTTGTAAGTCAGGGTTACAGACTATATACATGTCTGTGATGACGTACAAGTACGGTGTTATCAAAAAAGCACCTTATTACGTTTAGATGCAGAGATGATTTCTACATGGGCAACATTTTCTCTTTAAAACTGCTATTCAAACCTAGATGTGTTGATTCACACAAGAACAAACCGTTTTTGTTGATTTCTTAATATACATCTCCGATTTTAAAAGATGTAAATCTGCTTTGAACCCACATTCCACATTTGTTGTTGCCAACAAGCGTGAAGTATGATATCAAAATATTGATTTTCTGGTATAGGCTTGCTGATCTCTTTTTTTTCCTCTTGCAGTGTCAAGAAGTCATACAGAGCTCCCTGAAAATGGCCCAGTCTATAGCAGATGATGTTGACTTCCATACATTCCCCTTCAAAGAGTTTGGTAAAGGTTTAATAAAGAAGTGCAAAACCAGTCCTGATGCTTTTATCCAGATCGCTCTACAGCTCGCTCACTACAGGGTGAGGCTCAGTTACTATTCTGTGGCCCTCTATAAACTATTACTGTCTCCATAATGTGTACATTGTCTTTTAAAAGTTCACTTCAGAAAGTGTTGTTTGTATCTTCTGCTATTTATAACATAGGTAATGTCATCATTTGTATATACAGGTTTGGGGTCTGTTTTTCAGTAAGTGTTCAAGTTATTTAGAAATATTTATTATAATGAATAATTATAAGAATAGGGAAGGTAGAATTTCAATAGCGATCTTTTTAATGTACTTCAGAAGGGTGGAGTTTAACCAGTTATGGACCTCAAATGTCCTGTCCCGTTGGGCACATGCCCAAACAAGAGGCTGTCATTTTGACAAAAAACCTGTATTGCAAAACCGCGGTAAACGTGATGAAATGTAAACAAACGCTGATGCATTGTAGCTAGCTGCAACTCTTAGTCAGGTATAACCCCTTCCACTCCCAGCATGCTTTCATTTTTTGCTAGTTTTCTAGGAGAATGGGCATGTTTTCTGTTTTGAGAAAAGATTGTCCTTTTCATTTTGTTTATTTCTGCTAAGATGGTCTATGTAGCTATCCGGATTGGCTCATTCTTGGTAATGCCTTGGAGGCCGGGCCTGCCTGCATTGTGTCCTTCAGGCACCGGGCTCTGCCAGTTGGACTTCCCAGACCTTCTGGTACTGTGTTAGCTGCTGAATGCTTCCTAGGATCAGAGCCTTGGTACAGCCTCTGGCATGTGACTGTAATGAGTACACCTGTTGAGCTGACCAGCTGGAGCTACTACTCTACCTTGTAGTAGCTTCCTGGTTAAAATGCCACCATTAAGCCCCTATTCCATTGGTTTCCACCAAAAAGATTAACACAATGAGGAGTTAAATGCTGCATCATTAGTCTGAGTGTCACACGGGAGTACTTCCTGCTCTGTTACCGCTTTTATTTCCTTCAGTGTGAGGTAGCTTCTTCCCATCATACCTTCTGCGAATGACACACCGTTTCACTTCAGTCAGTCAGTTTGTTCTGCTCACCGTGACCTAATCATCTCCGGCCATTAACCCTTTATGCTTAAGCAGTTGGTTGTAAGTTAATTAAGGTTTATCTGGTGTTTTATTTTCAGTTGTTCCTGGTAATACAGTACATGTCAAATCCAAAAGCACAAGGAGAGCAGTTCACAGCATCAGGTTGCTCCAGCTCACGATCCACTACCCTTCTGGGGCAGCTTGCAGTGTTCCCCCTTAGGGACCTGATACCTGTAGCCTAAATAGTTATTCCCTGCTTGAGTCAATTCACTCCTCAGAGTCTCCCATAACTTCATCGTGTGTGCCCCTCCCCCCATTCTGCCTTATCCAGAGAATAGTTCTGTGTTTCTATGCTAGATTTTATGGGCTTAATTGCAAATATAATTGCTGACTCTGAATGCAGAGGCTGTCAGCATACAGTAGTTCTACCCCTGTGCATGGATGGCTTTGCCCCTGAGGAGTCTTATTCAGCTGAAATAGCTCCCAGGCTAAAAAATACCATGTCAACTCTTATCAGTGTTACTAGTAATGTTACCAGTCAAGGTTCCTTGAAAGGGCAGAAGACTATCAAAACTTACCTAGCGTTTTTTCGTTCAGTGAAACGCGCGTTTCACTGGCGGTATGATTTTATAATTTTTTTTCCTTTTTTTTATTTTCTCTTTTTTTTTAAACATTTTATTTTTTTTAGTTTCACTTTTAAACTTCCCGCCGGCTCCGTCCCCCTGCGACGCGGCCGCTCGCAAGGGACTTAACCCGGAAGTCAGCAGCCGTCGGAGGACACAGCAGGGATCGCGGACAAGGTAAGACCTGTACGCTGTATTCCCAAATGTGTAGCTCGGGGTTACCGCTTTTGTTAACCCCGATCCACACTCGGGAATACCAATGGAAACGCGCGGCAAAGCGGCCCCAAAGAAGCTCCTGTACTTCTTTGGGCGTTTTGCAGCTCGTTCCTACGTGCTGTAAAAAGCCCAGGTGGGAACCATGCCCATAGGCAATCATTGGTTTTCACATGTTGAGCGTTTTACAGCTCATAAGAACGCGCTGTAAAACGCCCAGGTGTGAACCAGGCCTAAATGTTTGCCTGTGACCCAAAATAGAAGTAAAGCCCCAAAAAAAGGTTTGTCTCTACTCTTCTAAATACATTTTTAAGGACAAATTTGACACACCAATAAAATTATCCTTTTTTTTATTTTTATATAAAGTGATATTTTCAGCTGAGAATTACAGTCACTTGGGTGATCAAATGCTCTTGAAGCCCAAACACCAAAATGTGGCTCACTTTATATTTTAGGTAAAATAATTATCATGCTCTTTGTACGTTTCTATACTACATCTTAGGGGTTAGGTTATGGGAAAGTTAGGTGTGACATACATAGCTGTTCACAAATAGATGGTTTTATACAGAGGACGCTGTTGTTGTTGTAATGTTTGTCTCCTACAGCAGTGAGTAGAAACATTTTAATAGAACTATTTTGAGAAAACATTCTGCCATTCCAGGACAAAAGAAAATTCTGCCTAACATACGAAGCATCCATGACTCGACTTTTCCGAGAAGGAAGAACAGAAACCGTACGTTCATGCACTGTAGAATCATCAAGTTTTGTAAAGTCAATGATGGATCCAACAAAAACAGTAAGTGTTAGGTTTTTAATGCTTGCTATTGTAATGGAACTAAAAATGCGCATGAAAACATGTATGCGTGTACATATAAGATTTCAGTTGTGTTACCTGTGAGCATGTGCATATGTGGTTTGTGTTGCACTTTTTTAAGCAAGCTTAGATCTTTATTCATTTGCCAGTTTTCAGGTATTTGTGTGGCAGTAAAGAGATAGAAACTTACACTTGAGAGGAATGTAAACAACTCTGGAATCTTGTCACTTGACCGTGTTATTCACACTCAGAAGCTGGGAGATGGAGGCAGGGGGAGAGGTCAGGCAGTTGACAGGGTAGCAAATTGCACACTTCAGGTTACTTCTGACTGTGAAGCTGAAGAATCAGGCTCAAAATAATAAAGGTATCTACAGATAGAGAACATTAGCCTGATCCTGTAATTTGATCAGCTAATGTTCATAGGTTTGTGGCTCCTTTTAGGACTCTGACCAACCTGGAGGAAGTCAGTTGGCCAGTATAGATTCCCTCTGTTGATTGCCATTGTTTCCCTATTAGACTGCTGCCTCCCATAGTGCTCGCCCAGGCTGCCTCCACAATCGCAAACATACAACTTCACCCAATTGGAACTAGCATATTTGTAGAAAGATTGGCCATTGATATTATTTTTTTGGCGGCTGGATCATTCATTCACAGCCAGCCACCAACTAATGTGTGTAGGTTCCTTCAATGAAGCTTAGTAGGGTAACCTAAATATGTCATTAGAAAACCTGCATGCTTATGATATTGTAAGTGTCAATCATTAGATTCTTGAATAAGACCAGCTATGCCGGTTTTCTTTACCAGCTGCAGCAATTCTTCAAATGTAAGTTTGCAGATTACGAAGACCACTCCTTCAAGCATATTAACAGATGAATGTTAAAATTACAGAGTACAAGATGTGTACACATACTAAACTACGTAACTTTACATTGATAAAATGTAAATAAAGTGGTTTAGGATGGATAGACATGAGTGTAGCATATAGGTTCCATAGCAGTATGACCTTTTTATTAAATCTCCACAACTGCAACTATGAAAGAGTGTGTTTGATTTAGTAGACGTGTTTGTTTTAGTAGACTGTACCACGCTGTAGACTCTTAATAGGTGGATAAAGTTTTCTGTCAACTTGTTATCTCTTAACAGGATGTGGAAAGGCTAAAACTCTTTAGAAAAGCAGGAGATAAGCATCAGTTACTGTACAGAAATGCGATGACTGGGGCCGGACTTGATCGACATCTGTTTTGTCTGTATGTAGTATCGAAATACCTTGGAACGGATTCACCTTTCTTAAGAGAGGTAAAACACCAAAGTGTGCTTGCTCTTGAATGGATTACAGGGTTGGTATTAGTTTGATTGCTAATGTCCATGTAAATTTGCTTTCTCAGGTGCTGTCTGAACCATGGCGTCTCTCTACTAGCCAGACTCCTATCCAGCAAGTGGAACTTTTTGATTTAGTAAATCATCCAGAATATGTCTCGTGTGGAGGTGGATTTGGTCCGGTAAGTAAATCATATGCAGTGTTTCATTTCCAAACTTAAAGCTCTTATTTAAGTGTTTTTCTGTTGTTATTAGTAGAAGCACATTTATCTTTTCTAAAGAAAGGTTAAGGGAGCTTGTTGGATTGATCATCGCCATGCTGTCACATTTAATCTTTCTATTGGCAATATCCTGTTGTAGGATTGTAACTGAACCCAAATGTGGCAGCAGCTAAGTGAATGATGTGGTGTTTTTTTTTTTTTAGGGCTTGCCTTTTAGGGACTGACTGGGTTAAAGTGTTAGTCCACCCAAAAATATTTCAATTTTTGGAAGATGCTGCGTGGTTAAACCACCTCACGTGTTCTTATATTGTTGTGATGTTTGTGTTTGAGTCTCTGGGTCTACAAACATGCCATGGCAAGGATTTTTTCTCAATCGTCCATTGAGCGACACAGCTCTGAAGAATTCTGAGACGTAGGGTTATGCCGCTGCCTCTAGGAGAAATGGACACTATGCATACAAAAAGCCGTCACGGGACTATAACCCCTCACACCTGCCAGTTTTGCTTTGTGTCCTCAGGAGAATGGATGTCTCCTTCTCTTCTGCTTTATTATTTTACTTTATTTTATTTCTTTGAAAATATTCTACTACCGAGGGCTGCTAGATGATTCATACAGGATAATGTTAAATACTGGAACTAGCCAACATGACAGATTCATACCGGGTTAAAACATGGGAACTTCTCTGGTCTCGGTACTTATGACTCGTCCTGCGGTGGTCATGAAGCAGGTTGTCTCTGCTACATGTGCTTGGTCCTGCGGTAGTTCTCTGTTCCTGCATTCATCATTTAACGGTCAGGCTAGTATTAACCTGGGGATTCCTGTTGGTATGTTGGGAAAAGGACTGTGGAGTCATTATCTTCCCATAACTTGGAAGTATGTGACAATGGACACCAGTCATGTGGGATAGGATTGGTTCATCTCTTGGTTCATCCATCTGTGCAGGATTTTTGGTCTCTGGAGGACACAAAGTTTCAGACTTGAGGGTGATTCGGGTCGTCGTTTTACTGGACTCATCTTCTGTCTGGGTGTTCGATTTGGATTCCATTAGACAGTGCTACAGCAATGGCATACATCGATCTCCAGGGAGGCATTAGCAGTGTGTCAATGCAGACGGAAGTACTGTACAGTACATTTGCTCTTGGATTGGGCAGAACTTTAGATTTCAGCGGTGCACATTTCAGAAGTCAAAAACTGGCAGGCGGATTTCCTCAGCAGACAACGTCTGGATCCTGGTGACTGGTCTCTCCATTTAGATGTGTTTTGACAACTTTATCACCACCTGGGAATGCTGGATGTGGATCTTCTGGCTTCTCATCACAACAAGAAGTTAGACATATTTGTGTACAGAGCAAAGGATCCAGCGGCAGATGCGATGGATGCCTAAGTAGCTCTGTGGGATCAGTACACACTAATGTATGTTTTTCCTGCTTAGCTTGAATGCTTCGCAGGATTATACACAGAGGAATTCCAGCCATTCTTGTTACTCCAGTTTGACCTCACAAGGTATGGTATGCCGATTTGGTTCATCTGTTGGCAGAGGATCCCTAACTTCTTCCAGGTCGGGCAAATCTATTTTCTCCAAGCCCAGTCTTCCACCATGCATCTCGGTCACTGGCTATAATGGCCTGGCTGTTAAAAACAAAATATTGAAAGACAAAGGAATTTCAGATTCTGTTATTCTGACTATTCTTAAGGCTCATTGATCTTCTTCAACTCATTAGATTTTTCCATCATACGTGGAAGGTTTACTTCCGTCGGTTTGAGTCTTTGGGATTTTCCACACGTGCTCTATATTGCAAATTTTGTCTTTCCTTCAACTTGGGGTAGATCAAGGTATAGCTGTGAATACTATAGAGGGTCAGACATCTGCCTTGTCTGTCTTGTTGTTGTGGTGCCCACCCGTCTGTTTGGTTTGTCAAAATTCTTTACAGTTGTGTTCCTCAATGGACAATAGAGAAAAAAGGGTTTTGTTCTAACTGCAAAATCCTTTTTTTGGAAAAGTATCCCCATTGAGGGATGCAGCTCCCTTCTCTCAAGTTCCTTTTGTACTGCTTGCAACAACTGGCAGGGGTGAAGTGGGAGTGGTTATGTCCTTAAAGTGACAGACTTTTTACTTGTTTGCATAGTGTCCATTTCTCATGGATGCCGCAGCATAACCCAACATCTCAGAATTCTTCAGAGCTATGTCCCTCAATGGACTCCAAGAAAAGGATTTTACAGTAACAAAATCTTATTTTTTTAATACTTTGAAGAGCACAAGAGGTGCTCAATCCTGCAAAGTTGGGTGAGAACACCCAAAACTGCCATGTGGACTGAAATTATGGCAATTATGGACTGTCCAAGACAAATAATGAGCCCAGGGCTCACTTAGCCCACCAGGGTTCACTTCTGACTTTATTATTACTTTTGAGTGCACTGACAGTTTTTTAAGTAAAAGCATAGTATGTATTTTCACCTAACATTAGAACTAGGACATCACATATGGCAAATATACAACAGTATATAGAGATTCTATATTACCTGCAAAAAGGCAAGCAGTGAGAATACATGGATATGTGTCTCCTGGGATATGGGACACAAAGTGGTCTTGAGGGTTTAGCTTGCATTACTATGATATTTTAAACAACTGTGTATGAATAAACAATCTTTCTTGGGGACACAGCCATAGGTGTGTGAGCAACTTATTGCATTAGGGTGTGCACACAAAAGTTCAGCAATAATGAAGCAAGTTTACCCTTGGAGCAAAGTAAGCTAATGATGAGACTTGTAGTTCCACCACAATGAAGCCTTATGTGTGCTGAAGGGGTTGAGAAGCTAGTGAAGCTTACAGAGAACAGACACACACATACCTGCAGCTGGGGTGCAGGAGGAAGTGCAGGGACAGGTGAGAACGGCTCTTCCTACTGTCCATAGACTGGGCAGGAAGAGTTACTGTATGATGTGCTACAGAGGGGGGACACAGCAGGGATGACAGCTCTGGATAGACTGCCTGAAGTAGGCAGAGAGAACAGGGGGTGGGGCTGACATTATAGCAGGCAAAGCCTTGAGCCCTATCCATACTATATGTGTGGTGGTGTGTCCGCAGGGCTGGTGCTAAGATTTGTGGTGTTGCGCTCCGGGTGATAAAGGTGTGCCCAGGCACACCCAGCGCACTCCTATGGACAGGGGAGGAAAATGTAATTCCCTGAGAGCTCATGAGATTACAGATGAGATTTCTCAGCAGTGCTCTGTGATGTAACCTTCCCAGGATGCAATGCTCGGGCACAATTACATCATTTGTGCCAAAGAGGACCAGGGAGTAGAAAAACTGTAATTGTAAGTAAAATAAAAATGTATTTGTTTAACTAATGAATGTTAGATGATTTCATATCAGCAAGCAGAGCTGTTTGCTGATGTGATTTTTAGTGAAAAGGGGTGAAGGTGGAAATGTCCTTTTAAGTGCTGCTGACAGTAAACAGGCGGTGTTCCTCTGCAAAGAAGAGCTGGGAGCAGGGAGTGAATACTGAGGCCCCGTTCCCACTGCGCGATATGCAAATCGCGCGTTTGTCGCGCTAAAGCTTGCATATTGGTCTATAGGATGCCCCATAATAGGAGGAGCCGTGACGTACACTCTGAGGATGAATCACCCCGCAGTGGCTGCAGCTACAGAGCTCAGTGATGGAGGATTTACATCATTTACTGCGTGTGATAATATCCAGAGCTGGTCACATGTCTAGTCATAGGTCATACGTCATAGGTCATGCGTCATAGGTCATGCATCATAGGTCATACCTCACATGTCATACCTCACAGGTCATACCTCACATGTCATACCTCACATGTCATACCTCACATGTCATACATCATAGGTCATACCTCACATGTCATACATCATAGGTCATACGTCATACATCACATGTCATAGGTCATACATCATATATCATACATCATGGGTCATATGTCATACATCATGGGCCATATGTCATACATCATGGGCCATATGTCATACATCATGGGTCATATGTCATACATCATGGGTCATATGTCATACATCATGGGTCATACGTTATACATCATAGGTCATACATCATATGTCATACATCCTAATCCTAATAGGTTGGACTTGATGGACTAATGTCTTCAACCTCAAATACTATGTAACTATGATATCGCGGGAATTACCGCACGATAAATCGCTCAATGTGAACGGGGTCTTAGAGGAAGAGCCCACAAGGAGATGGAAGTGTACTCAATGAGGATGTAAAGCTGAATGGGTGCAAAAAAATCCTTCAGTGTTCTATAGTATTTATGCTGAATATAGGATTATATTCAAGAGCTATATATTCAGTGCAGCTCTTGACTAAACTGTGCTGGGGATGGGATTCGGAGACCGAATCCTCCATGTGAAAGTAACACTTCGCTTAGGATAGGAAGGCTAGGCGATCATGCAGGCCGCACTGCCACAATATATCAGCAGGGGGTGCCAAAGCTCGTGCCCGTCACTTGTAATATGCGTGCAGGTGTGCGGCCCCTCCATTGCAGCCACTGCTGGCGATCCCGGGCTCCGCTGTACCCGGTATGAGCCCGGGACCAGCACAGCAGGGGCGGGATGGGACGTTTAAAAACCCCCACCCGCATTCAAGAAGCCGCTGACCGGCCGTTTAATTACAATGGCCGGACAGCAGGTGGTTAAAGTAGGGAAAAGCAGCAGGTATGCGTAAATGGACTCCCTTCTGAAGCTATGCATACTTTTCTTCCTTTCAGTCTCTCACCGCTCTGTTCACCATCCTGGAGCAAAGAGAGTTCCTAACTTGGAGCTTGCATGGGGCTAAGGACTCTTTAAGAGTCTCTCAGATGCTACGTGTCTGAACCAAACCATGAACCAAATCATACTGTCACATGGGACAAAGGGGAGCAGGTGTTCCCCATACCTGAGCACTGGGTATTTTTCTTTGCTCAGGAGGCAAATATACAGATGGGGATCAAAGGTGAGGAGAGTATGTGCAGCTATGGAAGGAGGTAGTTAAGTAAACCTGCTATATTGCCCTAAATGGGGAACAAAAACACAGGTTTACTTCAGGGACAGTCTCTGATTTACATGTCCCTGTCTCATGAAACACTCAGCAGCCTGTCATTCCGTTAAGGATCCCTTCTGAAACACCCAGCAGCCCATGAGGTACCCAGTACTACCTGTGCACCATTTATATAGAAGGAGTCGTAGTAATGTTTAATTGCATTGGTGTTTGGTTGTTTTGTGTTATTGAATGCATTACTACATAGTGGAATCCTAGTGCGAGAATGACATTTTATAAAAATGTCACCAGTGGTAGGTCTCATTTTTTATCATGATGGGGTTACTTAGGTAACATGATTTTAACTGTGTGACGCTGTAGAGAAAGCTGTAAAACAAGGCCTTTTTGATTTACATTCTTTTAAGGGAACAGTCTTGCAGACTTTTCCATTATACTGTGTGTGTGTTTACATTAGCCAGAGGGTTTCATTAGCTTCCTTTTTCTCCTTCGTTTATCTCCCAATAAATGAGTTTCCAGCATTCAGTGTCTGTATTTCTGCTTCCTGTTTTTCAGGTGGCCGACGATGGATATGGAGTCTCCTACATTATAGTTGGTGAAAATCTGATCAACTTCCATGTGTCCAGCAAGTTTTCCAGCAGTGAGACGGTAAGTGTCTTGAACCTTTTCCAAACCATTTTTAATGAATCAAATAATGTGCCTTATACTACTCAGGGGATATTTCTGTCATGCTAAAATTAAGAATATCTGCTCAAGTTCACATGCGATTGACAAAAATGCCCATTGCTAATTGCTCTGCATTTAGAATATATATAATTCTAGGGGGAAGGATAATACAGAACTATGGGGTAAGTGGTTTTCCCCATAGTTCTCTATTAGTGTCACGGACATATACTAACCTCCTCCGGTGACCCGAAGCTCAGTTTTTAGCAGGCTATTGCCCGCGATATACTGAGAGCGCCGCAGCCGGGACAGATCCAGACAATACTGTTGAGATCTACCCAGCCGCGTGAGTGACATCTGGCTCTGCCTATCTAGAGGCGGAGCCAGCTGTGCCCGCCCCTCCCCCATTCGTTCCTTCAGTCAGAGCTGGAGGATCGGAGAGGTGGGAATCCCTACGGGAAGCGGTGACTGACGGCCACCGCTTGCTGCAGGAAGATGATCGGTAAGTGAGCGGATCGGCGGCATGCTTCTGCTCACTTCCCGATCGATAGAGCCGACCTGTGACAGCTTCTTTGTCACAGGTCGGCTCTAACTATGAGGATGAGTGGAAATCACTAACCTCATAGTTCTCGTTTAAGTATTCTTCAGATCTAAAATGTGAATTTAATATGCATGCAAAAAATGGCACCAATAGAGTTAATCATGACCTTAATACCTACTGCAAATTAGTGATAGCAATGGGGTGGGTGTAAGTAGACTGCAAAGTAACTTTAACCACCTCCCGTCCATACAACTGTGAGCATGTAAACAGCACGGCGACGCTCTAACAGCAGATCAAAGGGAGATCATTACTCGATTTCCCTTTGATCTCTCTTCCTGTCCCCGAATGCAGGAAGTGATGTATATTAACCCCTTCATGACTGAGGCCTTTTTTTCATTTTTTGTACCCATGTTATATTCCACATTTTAGGCCTGAAAATGACGTAAAACCCCCCAACATTATATATTTTCTGAATGCCAAGATCCTATAGAATAAAATGGTGGTAGTTGCAAATTTTTATGTTGCGCAATATTAGCGCAACTCCTTATTAAACCCCAATATTTAGTGAAAAATTTAATTAAATGCCCCAAAACACAACAAAATACCCATTTTTTTTATGAAATATAAAAGATGAGGTTACAACGAGTAAAACGATACCCAACATGCCCAGGTTACAAATTGCGTGCATCCGTAAAACGGCGAAAAACCCCAGTACCCCA